AAAATTCTCATATTTTTTTAAGATTTCAAAATGTCTTCATTTTTAATTTGTGTGTGTTTCGATTTTTTCCTTTATTCCTATTGTGATTGTAAAATACTACTAATGTGTATATAAAATAAAATATAGTGTAATACTACTAATGAATACTATATATGTATCTAATTGAAAACAACTCTGTTAAAATATTTATATAGGAATAAATATTATTATTTTTATTATATTGTAGTTTACAGTAGATAAGATTATGAAAATGTTATCGGAAAAGGAAATGGCGCAAACACAGGTTAGAAACACCGTTAGAGCAAGCCAAAAAAACATTGACGCCAATGTTGGATACAACAAGATTTTGTGTGTTTATTTAAAGTTCAACATTTCAAAATCAATAATATTTGCCGAAAATCGTATCTGCAGAGTATTAATAGGCTTAATCAAAATATATAATACATAACTGTTAAGATAACCCGAAGCACTCTTGGAAATTTATGATGGTAGACCAATTTATGATATACGTGGGCTCCTTCCACACCCTTTTTGAATAAATCGAGAAGTAAAATTCCACCTACAGTAATCAAAATTACTTGTAGAGATGCAAACATTTTGCGTACCTGACTTGAACCTTCACCTTAAGCTGTGTATTGTTAATGAAAAGCCTTATCCTTTTGTTTTTCATTAAACCGACGAAGGAAATTTCTGGCATTATTACCCAAACGCTTGATTACATCCTGCCGAAAACATAGTGCCCCTTAATTTGATTTTAAGGGTTTAACGGCATCCTTATCCTGTCCTCTGTTTTGCCGGAAAGTTCCTATCCACTGTTGTTCTATTATTGTCTAATTCAATGCATTACGGCCAATCCGTAGTCATTCCAGTGGGAACAGTTATCTCCACGTTTCGGTCACCGGGGCCCTATTCAATGCCTTTGGAAATCGACTAGTTTCCATCAAAGAAACAAACTTAAATGAAAATCCTTAAGCACATCACCGAATTACTTCCGGAAAATGACCCTTTGTGAGGATCTTTAAACATTAAACCATAAAGAAACCAATGTTATTAATTGCGTTTATTCGCTTATTCTTAAAACCATTAGTCAGAATTTTAAGAAACATTATTCAGGTAATAAATTTATTTGATTAACAACATATGCCCTTTTTAAGAACAAGTCATATTTATGTGGACAGGATTTAGCGCTGCTTAGCAGGGAGTGAGAACAAAAAATAATTTCTATGCATGTTTTAAACTCGCATTAGTTCCTTCATAATGAACTTTAAACTTTGTTTTTGGGTGATATTCAGTTACATCACGCTATTCTGAAGCTGGTTTCTGAGCAACCAGTTCAGATATCGCATTACGGGTTCCAGGGCTCTATAGTCGAAGCTTTACTTTAAATGTTCTCCCAAGCAGATTTGTTGTACAACACTGGTTCCCTCAAAATAACATTTTGTATTTGGAAAAAAAATGTCCGGTTTTTTATTTTTATATTTTACGTCGTGTTATTATGAAGATGGTTGGTTTCTAAGCAATCAGTTCAGATATCGGAATGAAAATTTCAAGAGTATATAAATAAGGCCTCACTTTTTATTCAGCCACAAGTTGTTTTCTGAGCAACTAGTCGCCATATCGGAATGCGGGTTTAAGTAGAATTATATGGTCACTTATGCAGACTATTCTTTTAAAATAAGACGTAGTATCGTTTCTGCTATGATTAGCATGAGTTAACTATAAAAAGAGTCACAGCAGGAACGAGCATTCAGATGTTTGGTCAGAAGTCATAAGAATTAAGTCTCAGATAGTTTTTAGCCTCAGATAGTCGTCAGTCTATAGATATTCATTCTTAAGATTTACGGTCTACGAGTCATAAGTCTTAGTTAAGGTTCGGTTACAACTAAATCCTATTGTTTGTATTAATTTTGAAATAAATTGTTTTTAAAAAGCAATCTTTCAAATTTCAATTTCAAATAAACGAAGCATCGATTTACAAATGTAAACCGGTTTCCATTCTACGCAGTGGTACTTTAAGAATATAATGTAGTAGGACTAAAAAAACGTGTTTCAATCCGTGACAGTGGAACCTACGATTATCATTAAACTTTCACCTTTCGAGTGTTTTTGGGCATTTTTTATTTTTACATTACATGCTCCGGAGGGCGGTCTCTGAGCAACTAATTGACATATCGGAATTAGATTCTGAGCACTCGAGACGGAGATCTTCAGTTAGCCTGGATTCTAAATGTGGTTTAATTTAAGGTAGGTACTGGTCTCTTTATAATTTCGGAGTGGTTTTTATTTTTCCGTTGTATACTAGTACTTTCGGAAACTCTTTCCTTTAAGAATATTGCATCAGATTTCATGTTTTTACTTGGATGTGACATACGCAACTTAAATAAACAGCCGTCGCGATTAATATTGAAGATTCCCATCTCATCTGCAATTTAGATTATTCTGATTGCATCACACAACGCGCTAATTTACCAAACGACACGAGAATAGGGTGCATTGGGCATAGTATAACGTATAAAGAAAGTAGAGAATGCCGATGCAGTCGAGATCGATTAAACGTTGCAGGATATTTTTTAAAGCGACTGCAAAATATATTAATAAAAATCGATATGCGTCGCATAATTATTAACATATTTTACTATATTGGCCACGGCCCGCGAATGAATACACTCATTCTGCGTTTCGATAAATATATCAATATTATCTCTCTATTTTTTATTTATTGAAGTGATACTTTTTAACGCCGTTTTAGACAATGTACAGACAAGTATGTATAGATATAGCAACTCCTGAAGGTTCGATACCTTGATTCCTACTTTTTGAAATAAAGTTAATTCGCCGTCCGTCGTTTATTATTGGTAAGTCACAGCTAAGGACAACAGGAAAATTACATATTTTTATTTTGCGATTATCATATACAGTAAAAGCTCTAGTTGTGGACAGCTCTAATAAGCCGATATCTCTCTAAACCGGACATTTTTCTTGGAACCGAATTTTGTCACATGGTTTTCATGTAAAACTCTTTCTCATAAGGGGAGTATTCTATTAACCGGACGCGGAAATGATATTTTTCTTATAAGAAATTACCGGACACGCAGCGCTGATAAGCGGCCGATGAATAAAACCGTTATCAAAAATAGGCCACTTTCATTCGGAGAATTCCTTGACATATTTGGTAACTTCCCGTTTTACGTGTTTTGAAAGGATGAGTCAACGTGGACTTTTCTAAGAAATATTGCCATCAAGGATTTGCCAGCAATTTGGAAATTAAACAAGAAAGTGTGGTTGATGAAAGAAAAAAAGAGTGCTCTATAGTAGCTCTAGATCTAATGTGTTATGCAAAAGCTTTAGGTACTTTTCATAACAACTGAACTTTCCACGAGTAGTATGATGGCGCATCAGAAGAAACGTTGACAATTATACCTAATGCTTCACTCCTAAAACCATATGATGAAGCTTTAAATGCAATTTTCCCTCAACAAAAATTTTCAAATGATGCTTTTGTTGCGTTTCAACATCTTAAAAACCTTGAAACACATTTTCAACATTGCATTATTGAACACAAATTTTTTAATTTGTTTTTTTAACGTTTTTTAAGGGTAAGCAAGTATTTTAGAATATGTTAATAAACCGGCACAATAACATTCTAGGTTTCTATGTTGAAAAATGTTATGAAACATAAGAAAACAATAAAGAACCTGAAAATAAATATTGCTTTCTAATTAAATACATTAGGATTTTCTCTATTATGCGGATTCCTCCCATAGCCGGACATTTCTTGACTGTGTAACTGGCCGCTTATCGGAGCTTTGACTGTATTAGTTACAGGCAGTTTAATTTAAGGAATATTTTCTAAGGTTTCCAAATTCACATTCCAAATTATTGGTGTTTTTTTAAGCTCCTGCTTCCCTTGCATTTGGTTAGGTTTAAAGCCCATGTCCCATGCATCTGTTTGTACGATGATGCGAAAGTGTTTCTATTGGTTGGATATCTGTCAGTTCGGACGACGACGTATCATCGTATCATCATACAAACGGATGCATGGGACACGGGCTTATGCCAATCGATAATTGGAATAGCACACAAGCGCGAATCTATCTAAATTTGATTATCACTGCCACTATTAGTCAGTATATTAGCACAAACTTCAAGAGCATCACTTTGTTTTGCTACTTCTTTTGAAAAACTTTTAAAACTTCACATAACGACAGCACAATACAGTATAACAATAGGCGATACTCCGTCTAACAGAACGTCTCAACAGCTGAAGCGAACATGAGAGATTTCCATGACAGCGTCGATCAGCACGGAGCAGCATTTAGACGGCACGGCCGCAGATGGCGACACTATAACTGCTTCTTTGATATTGCAAACATTGGTGGAACGAAATTCCTCGAGTTCAGAATGCGTGCAATGAATTTGTAATTTCTAGAGGCATATTGTGGAGAGAAAAAAGTAAATGGCATTATAACCCCAAATGAAAAACGAAGAGATATTCAAACAATTTAAACTGATCCTAACCAGTTGGCAATTATATGAAAATAAATTGGAGATTTTTAATCGATTAGTGAAGCATCTCTTGGAACCGAAACATTGTTTGGAACAATTACAATTAGTGCTGACAGTAATTAGATTAAAGTCGAAGTAACTAAAACGGCAACTAAACATTAGTTTAGAAGCTTTGTATTGTTATTGAGCGCTCTAAAGTTTCAAAAAAGTGTTCGTTCATGTGTACGTTTGCTCGCAACTTGGAAACATCATAAAATGGCGACGGGATGCCGCGCTTAGAACAGATTGTGGTTAACAACATTAGTTTTTATGACAATGGAAATATGCATGGTCTAATGGAATAGCTAATAGATAGATGTTCGGTGGTTAATTAATTCGAATTAACGGTTAAATTGAACTAAATCTTCCATTCAAATTTCCCAGACATAAACTCTGGTAAAAGGTTCGTGTATGTTCGTAGAACTCGATTTGTTCTGATCCCGCTTCGCTAAAATGTCGCTGGCATCGTCAACGTTAGTATGTGTATTGAGTTGTTGAAGTTGGTCCGTCGAACCGAACAGCAAGCAATTTGAGAAACAGATACTCAAAGATAAATAAAAACATTAAAACTCGTAATCGACGGTGGTGACAAGACATTGACGGTGATTTTTCGAAAACGATTCGGCTGTGATTTTTTGAAAACCGCGTGGGTCGGCAATTTCTGTCCACTTCTTAATGGTATTTACCATATCAAAGATGCACCACGACCAGAACTGGATTTAACGCGCTTTCTCGCGGGCACAAATAAATGAGTGCTGTGAAAAACTATGAGAAGTGAAATTCTTCGTTTTTGTTTCTTTCAACTTATGGGGTAAAGTGCCACAATACCCTTTAAGGTAAGAACCAGCAATTTAATTCCATCTAATGCTAATGAGATTTTAACCAAACATTTTTTAAACATTTGAATACAGGTAAATAATAATTCCACGTTTCAAAGTAAATTCATTAGTACGTTACTATGGCTTGTTGCTGGTCTACCTCACATTTCAAGTACTACTAAAATGATTTAACCAATATTAACGTCGATCCTGATACCTGCATTCCTTCGCATAGCGGTGATTTCATCCAGTGGCTTAAGGCATCTATCTGTTGGGTTCGGAGACTTAATCAGTTAAAAGCAAACTAATTGACTTGAGTTTTAATAAATAAAATCTCTAATTTAGATCATTAATTATATGTTTGAATTGAACCGGCTTATTTCACTTTTACTAATTTCAATTTCAAAATGTCAATCTACTTTGAATTCCAACTGTTAACAATTAGTGATCAGAAACGGATTATTCATCAAACAGTTGATGATTATTTACGTAATTAAATGTTTTCCTTCTCTTTGCGTTTAGGATGTATTTGGCGTTAAAATCAAGCTTTGAAATGTATTGCTAAAATTAGTAATTTCTCCACTAACAGGACCGAACAATTTAAATATCACTCGGAATTTTTGAAATACAGTATTCGCCCAAGGGTCACTGAATTTATAGATACGATATATTCACAAAATAAATAACTTTATCTGCTTTGGCGAGACTGATTTGGGTGGTCAACAATTTAGATATACAGGGTACGGCGAAGTTAAAATAATAGGTACTGGCAAGTCATATAAACGCAGGTCTGCAAAAGCTTCGTTTACGAAATACACGGTCTCAAATGTGTTTTATTTGTTGTTTAATAGGTATTTTCTCTACAGCTCCAAGCGCTTAGGAAATATTATAATATAAATGATAACTTATTAGGGTTTGCGTCCATGTGACAATTTACACGGCATACTTAGTTCTTTCTAGATTCATGTTTTTTTACCCGCGCAATCTTTTCTATGAAGTGTCACTCATATTTTACTCCCTAAACGTTTTAATTCTATATTCAATTTTAAAATCTTTCATGCCTTTCGCATTGTCGTTATAAAGTGATTTATGAGGTAATGATATGAATAATAATGCGCACACACGAAATTAAAGAAAATAAATTGCAATAACACAATTAAACGCAGTTCAAATGAATGTTGACAATGTGCAACTAAATTCAAAAAATTGTTATCCACGTCGCATAGTTTATGGAAAATTACCAAATTGACCCTTTTACTATTTAGGACAAATTTGACTTCAATGTAAACTTATATCGGATTTCTGAAAACTACCGTGCTAAAGTTAAATAACTCGCGACTACACTTTCTCGCTTATTTTGAATATTTTCATACGTGGGCCAGGAAAGGGAACAATTTTAACATTTCATTCATAACTCTCGTTTTTCGATGAGCCTGTAGTTGTAATTATAATGTTTTTATGAGTGCATTTAATGATTTTTTTTTGTAAATTTTGAATATACTTGTAGACAGCCATGATACAAACCCGATACGTTATCTGATAACATAAACACCTATAGGTCCAATGAATTCCCGAAAGTTAAAAATCTTCATAGAAATTGATACCTATTTTATGAAAAGATATAGGCAATATTATTAAATGCACTTTAAAACATAATAATTACAATTACGGATATACCTAATTAAGTAGACCGACTTATCGAAAAACGAAAGAAATGATCTGGAAAACGTGAGGATGAATATAATATTTCGACTGATAAAGTAAAAGCCCATAGGGTATTTGTTCCATTAAAAAAAAGCGAGAAAGTTGTGTCGAAATTTACCTCATTTTAAAACCGACGTTTTTCGACTTCCTGTATAAATTTAGATTGAAATTAAAAGTCTATTAAGTAACAAAAGGGTCGTTGCAGTAATGTCATAGATTATGGGGCGTGAAGAACTATTGAAGGGGTCCTAAAATGTTTTGAATCTTGACCCATTGTTTCACATTTTTCAAAATTATGTCAATAAGAAACTTATTGTAATTTTTATATATAATTTAATATAAGTATGTAGGGTGTTACATTAGAAAAAGCCTATTTTTTAAGGCATCTTGTATAGTTGAATCAAATTTTAAAATGTGGCCCACTTCAAACTTTATTATATGTTGCAAAAATTTGAATTAAAAATTTCTATTCTTTATCTGTTGAAAGAAATGTTTAAATAAGGCGGGATACGAAGTGTTACGCAATTGATGGACTAATAACATGGCGCTTGAAACCTTGTGAAAAAAACTACCCTAACAATTACTATTTATTAATTTATTTTTATTAATATATTTTATTAATTACCCTTTATGTTTTTATACGTTTTTAAAATAAATATCCAGATTTCCTTTTGGTGGTGCTCTACTTATACTTCCTTATACATTTATTTGCTATTGAATTGCTCTTGAAATTTGTTATATCGCCTTAAAATATTTTATTGTTTTTAAAGACACCCTTTTAACATATTCGCGTTTTGGATTCGCTTAAAATATTTTGAAATTCAAAAAGTGTTAGTTTTTTTAAATGCTCAATTTGCTATTTTTTCAATATTTCTTGCTGATGTAATATATTTTTCTGATTCATTCTGATATTGCATAATATGTTCACCTAAATTTTTGTTGAGATTGTTATAAGTCTTTTCCCAGCATTTGTTGTTCTCTGCAGCAATTTTTTGCATTAACGCGGCTTGCGCTTCTTTATATTCAACTTTGTTCGTATCAGCCTGACTGTTCAAGTCCGTTCCGTTTAATTTGCTTTTGTATATAATCATAATTGCTACTTCCTACCAGGAGGATTTTCGTTGAGGGTCGTTCTTGACATATCTACTTAATGCTTCTAAAGCTACCTCATGTATTGCTCTTTTCATATGACTCTAATGTTCGTCTGTAGTTTTAAATCGTTAATTGTCTACTTTTTTTTATTCAAACTGCTATGGTATCGTTTTCGCAGGGTTTCTTCGACCAGTTTATATCTGTCAATAATTTATAATATTGAAGTGCTCGCTCTTAAATAGCAACAGTAAATTGAATAGACCAATTTAAAGCATTTCTCTTCATGGATTGATTATTGCTATATTGTTCCCCTGAAAATATGTCTTCCGTTAAAAGGAAATTTATCATACACCCTATATTAGTAGTAAATAGGGCGCATTAAGGGAATGAACGTTAAGGTTATTTATGATGGTAATATACAAGTAGAATATTTTCGGTGAAAATGGTAAATGAATGAGGCAAAGAGTTTAAAGGCTTGCGAATTAGCTGTTCTGTGAAACAGACATTTGCTAAAAGTGCATAATACGAGAAACCCCATTAATACTGATTATGGCAGTGAGTAGCACCTAGAAAATGGAAAAGGTGAAAGACCGGAAATCATTTCTTTTATCTGCTTTTTAATTTAGGAGAATTATTATAATGTTCAGCGCTCATCAATTAGGATAACGTGATACTTTGCTTAACCTAATACCCATTTTACAATTCACGTCTATTAATTCCTACGGCTCAAACTTTTATTGTTTTCATATTTGAAATCAAGGCGACTCGCAGACAAGCGAAATAATTGTTAATTGGCCGCAACAAAACCTCAACCTTAAATTTAGTTTGAGTTGTAAAAGTAAATTCCATTGGGACGATCAAGTCCGGTTGCTAAACTCCCCGTCAATGTAAAAGTAAATAAGAGGTTGTTGGAATCGTTATTAAACGAGAAAATGTCTGATTTTCGAAAGTGTGAAACTAGTAAAAGCGGACCATAAATATTTGCTAGGAAGCTTTCGGTATCAGAGTGAAGCACTTTTGAACAACAACAGAAAGAACCAAGGAAACCTGACGGATTTTTCGTTCGTTTTTATGCCTTGAAAGTGAGAAAATTAATGGGGTTGAAAAGACCCTAATAAGTCAAGGAATCGAACAAGGAAATTCAAGGAAACCGCTGACATAGAGAACTGGCAATGGGCTATTCGGACAATTGAAAGAAGTGCCCTTAAAGCAAATTAACCCTACTACAGTCGCATGTAAATAATCCTCGTCCTTTAAAAACTTTGAAAGATTTCGAATCCTTAATTAAGCGTTCGTTGCCTAAATTGTTGTTGGTATGCGTAAAGATTCCTGAAATAGACAAAGATGAACGTCTGCAAAGGGACTATAACGAAAACCCTGTTTGCCAATTTTATAATTACTGGTTAAAACAAACATACAAAAGGATAGCTACAAAACAGAAAAGTGTTTAAACAATGGCCCACCTTAATTAACTGCTCGAAAAGGAATTTCATGAAATATTCAAATGGTTTTGAGTAGGTAGCTGGATATAATACGCACGAACCGTTTGCTGGGATATGAAATATCCCTTCTATTTTAGATGCGGTGCATTGGAACCGTCTGCTTGTATTCTCTCTTATACGTCTAGAAGACGGCAAGTTGCTTCAGAAAAGTTTGCATTTGAGTTGTCACTTAATGTTGCTATTACTAAACTATTTCATTCATTCAGCTCACCCCGCAAACTTTAAAGACGACTCTACAGCCCAAAGTCGTTAAGAATGCCTGGCACAGGTGCAAACGAACCATTGTTAGACGTAGATAATGCACGTCAATTATAAAATCAGCTATCAAATAGTTAATAGCCAAGATCCAGGTATATAAACTAGGAAGAAAGAAACTATTGCAAACAGAACGAGACTACTTAAGCAATCATTATTGATTTACATTTAACATACACAATAGATCTCTGAGAAGCACAGCAAAAAATTGCACAAAATGTACATCCTCGTTGCACCATCTATCCTACAAATAAAACCAATCAACCTCAGGGCATTGCCCCTAAGCAATACCTTTGCAGTTTCATTATCTAAGCTATAGATAAGGCTATCACTACAATTTGCGTAACTATTAAGGATCATGTCAAACACAAAATCGTCGGTTCAAGCTCCAAATAATTTGATATGAAAATATGGGCTGCTCTTTACATGCAAGTTATTAACTTTCGAACAGTATTATAGATGGAA